CTGGCACGGTGGGCGCCCAGCTTGACCCCATCCACCTGTCCATCTTCTCACACCGCTTCATGAGCATCGCTGGTGAGTGGCACCACTATTCTCCTGGGCCCTGCTCCCTGTGGTGTCCAGTAGCGGGGGTGGTCTGCAGAGGGAGACGCAGAAAGTGTTAACCGGGGAAGGGGCAGAAGCAGAATCTTGGCTGGTGACAGGACGGGCAGCGTGGCCCTGACTCTGGGATGGCACAGCCTCCCTGCACCAACAGGACTTAGAGCATGGCCTTCCTCCGGCCAGCGGCCTTTTGTCTGTGGACAGGAAATGGGCTCAGCACAGTGAACCTGTTTGAGTAGGGTCAGGCGAGGGCACCAGGCTCTTATGTGTTTGGCAGGGCAGAAGACGGATATGGGACCCCAGGTTCTTGCTGGGGCTCCTGGCAGCAGTAGGGGAAGGGGTGCCCCTCACACATGCGAGACATAGTGTCCAGGTGGGCCACTGCCACCTTTGGGTCCTGGCTCAGGGACTCGGGTCCTGTCTCTCCATACCCGGGGCCGAGCTGTGGGTGGGGTGGGGCCAGCGGCACCTGGTCACTCTGTGCCTCCAGAGCAGATGGGCCGCATCCTGCAGCGCACGGCCATCTCCACCAACATCAAGGAGCGCCTGGACTTCTCCTGTGCCCTCTTTGGGCCCGACGGGGGACTGGTCTCCAATGCTCCCCACATCCCTGTGCACCTGGGCGCCATGCAGGAGACCGTGCAGTTCCAGGTTTGGCAGGTCCCTTTTCCTGCCCTTCTCTGCCCCACCCCCACCTCCTCCCTACTTCCAACCTATGTCCTGGCTTCAGATCCAGCACCTGGGGCCTGACCTCCACCCTGGTGACGTGCTTCTGAGCAACCACCCCAGTGCAGGGGGCAGCCATCTGCCAGACCTGACTGTCATCACACCGGTAAGGGCCACTACCTGGGAACCTCAGGGGACAGAGGCCACGCAGCTGACAGTTGCTCTCCACTCCTAGGTGTTTTGGCCGGGTCAGACTCGACCTGTGTTCTACGTGGCTAGCCGTGGGCATCACGCAGACATTGGGGGCATCACACCAGGCTCCATGCCTCCACACTCCACCACACTGCAGCAAGAGGGCGCTGTCTTTCTGTCCTTTAAACTGGTCCAAGGAGGAGTCTTCCAGGAGGAGGGTGAGTGGGAGTGGGTCTGGGGCCCGGGGCTGCCCACATGGCTGGTGCCTACAAGCCAGGCCAGGCCGGATATTGGGACACAGCCTACCAGCCCAGGCTTGCCTTGAGGCTGGGGGAGCCAGGTGGAGACATCTCTCAGAGATGACCAGAGGAGCGGAGATGAGTTCTGCCTGGGCCCAGGAAGGCCTCAGTGGTTTTTGGAGGTGGGGAGTTGACCAGCATACTGAAGGGACTAGGTACGAGATGGCGAGGAGCCTATTTCAAGGTGTTTACAGTCTGCACTGGGTTTGCACTCGGTCTGGGGCCTGCAGAGAAATAGGGCCACAGGCTGCAGGCTCTTAGAAAGCCCGGGTCTGAGTCACTGGGTGGTAAGGTGGCAGGGTGGCGGTGAAAGTCTTCAGCTGGGCGCATTCTGTTCTGCTTGTGCACCATGACAGCCCCCTGACTACATGCAGTGTGGATGGGGGTCCAAGGGTGACCTGGACCCTGGGCAGGGGGTGTAGGGCAGGGCAGCTGCAGCTGCCCTGGGTGATGCTGGGCCTTAACCTGGGCAGTGAGGGAGGAGTGAGGACAACGTTTTTGGAGATCAGGGTTGGTATTTGATGGAATTTGGAGGTGGAGGGGAACGGTCAAGTATGGACAGCTGGAGGATGGAGGCGCTGGCTCTGAGTGGGCACAGAGCAGCTGCAGGGGAGATGGGACAGGGTGGCAGTGGAGCCTGGGAAGGAGGAGTAGCAGAAAATACAGAGCAGGTTTGAGACTGTAGGGGTCTGAGAACCCAGAAAGCATCGCAGAGTGAGAGGAGGTGACATGGCAGGGTGGATGGTGGTGTAACAGAGCTGCAGGCTGCCCAGGACATGAATAGAGTGACCTAGGTATGGCTGGTCCCTTGGTCAATGTGGACTGAGGCAGGGGGTGGGAATCATGGGAGGGATACGTGCAGGAACGTGGCAGAAGGCCCAGTGGCCAGGGAACCTCAGAGAGGGTCTCAACCTAGACTTAGGTGGGTGGGGCTTTCCTGAAGTGGAGAGAAGTCCTGGGGCCAGGGCCTACACTGCTTGCTGGGGGTGGTCTTGTTCTAGATCTGTTGGGGGTGGGGTGTTGCACAGATGGCCACGTTGTTCTTTCAAAGAGGTTGGCTTGGGTGCCAGTGGGGTCCACACAGCTGAGGACAGTGTGAGTGGGAGAGGGGCAAGGGAAATGGTTTTTCTCCTGGGAAAGGGGAGGGAGGACAAGAAAAAGCTCAAAAAGAGTGGGCCCAGGAGGTGAGGAGGCAGGACAGGAGGCAGCGAAGGAGGGAGGAGACTTTGCTGAGGGACAAATGTGCCCTGACAACCCTCCACCCCTGCTTCCTGCCCTTCGGGTGTTTGTGGGGGCTGAGGTGTGGGAAGGAGGAGGTTCTTCAGCAGATGGGATGAAGCTGTGAGTTTTGGGGGCACTGGAGGAGTCAGCAGGGCTGTGGGGAACAAATGAAGGGCCAACATAGGGGGCCCACAGTGCCCTGCAGAGGTGCAACAGGTACCAGGCAGCCCTCAGACCTGGAGGGTGTCTTAGTGGTGACTTTGTCCATCCAGCGGTAACTGAGGCCCTGCGGGCCCCAGGCAAGATTCCCGGCTGCAGTGGGACTCGGAACTTGCACGACAACTTATCAGATCTCCGTGCCCAGGTGGCAGCCAACCAGAAGGGCATCCAGCTGGTGGGGGAGCTAATCGGGCAGTACGGTCTGGATGTGGTGCAGGCCTACATGGGCCATATTCAGGTGGGCCTGGGGGCAAGAACGTGGGGGTAGCTCTGTGTCAGCTCCAAGGCAGCTGGGCAGGTAGGGGAGGGCGGCACTTGTCCCTCCTGGAAGGTGCCTCTGAACATACTCTCTGCCAGGCAAATGCTGAGCTGGCTGTGCGGGATATGCTTCGGGCCTTTGGGACCTCCCGGCAGGCTCGGGGCCTGCCTCTGGAGGTGTCTGCGGAGGACCACATGGATGATGGTTCTCCCATCCGACTCCGCGTGCATATCAACCTGAGTCAGGTCTGGCTGCGGGGAACCAGGGCCTGGGGCTGGGGCATTGGTGGCATGGCTACCTTATTGCTGATGACCTCTCCCTTCCCTTCCTGGTGGGCAGGGCAGTGCAGTGTTTGACTTCAGTGGCACTGGGCCAGAGGTGTTTGGCAACCTCAACGCACCACGGGCCATCACACTGTCTGCCCTCATCTACTGCCTGCGCTGTCTGGTGGGCCGCGACATCCCGCTCAACCAGGTGTGCAGGCATGTCCTGTGGGCGAGGTCAGCAGGTAGACCCTAAGCCTCAGGTCACCCTGAGTGAGCTTGGGGCAAAGTCAACCCAACAGCCCAATAACAGACTGATGATCCCAGAGGTGCTGGTGGTGGTGGGGGACATATATCTCCAACTGACCCTTAGAGCTGGCCTTCTGCGCACAGGGCTGCCTGGCACCGGTTCGCGTCGTGATTCCTAGAGGCTCCATCCTGGACCCTTCCCCAGAGGCTGCCGTGGTGGGCGGCAACGTGCTCACATCGCAGCGCGTGGTGGACGTCATCCTGGGGGCCTTCGGAGCCTGTGCCGCCTCCCAGGTATGGCAGGTGGGTGGGCACCGCTCCAGCTAACTGTGGGGAGGGCAGCGGGCTGGGACGCTCAGGGAGCGGACGCCACCCCAGCCGCAGCGACCACTTATTCCCTGCCAGGGTTGCATGAACAACGTGACCTTGGGCAACGCCCACATGGGCTACTACGAGACGGTGGCGGGCGGCGCGGGCGCAGGCCCCGGCTGGCACGGGCGCAGCGGCGTGCACAGCCATATGACCAACACGCGCATCACCGACCCCGAGATTCTGGAAAGCAGGTGAGTGGCGCGGGCGGGGCTGGGAGCTGGGCGGGGCTGGGAGCTGGGCGGGGCTGGAGAGCCGGCCGTGGTTGGTGAGCGGGCCGCGGGCGGAGCCAGGGCCGCTGTGCTGAGCCACGGGCCTGCGCAGGTACCCGGTCATCCTGCGCCGCTTCGAGCTGCGGCTGGGGTCCGGGGGCCGCGGCCGCTTCCGAGGCGGCGATGGTGTCGTCCGTGAGCTGCTGTTCCGCGAGGAGGCGCTGCTGTCCGTACTGACCGAGCGCCGCGCCTTCCGGCCCTACGGCCTCCACGGTGAGCGCTTCTCCCTCCCCCCTCCCCCAGCCCAGTCTCTCTTCAACCCGGCGTGTTCCCACCCCTCCCGCCCCCCTCTCCTTACCCAGCTCCCCCTCCCCCTCGTCTCTCCCTTCTTTGCCTCCGGGGCCGCCCCGCGCCTCGCCTCTTACTGCAGGGGGTGAGCCCGGTGCCCGTGGCCTGAACCTACTGATCCGAAAGGACGGCCGGACCGTGAATCTGGGCGGGAAGACGTCGGTATCCGTGTACCCTGGGGTAAGGATTGTCATCTGTCCCGTCCCATTTCCATCTCCCCCAGCGGCTGTCATCCCACAGAAGGTGAACAGAGTTGCAAAAATAACCAGAATCCCAGTTTAATTTGGCTCCTGAAGGAAAGGGGGCACAGCAAACCAGGCACCGTGGCTCAGGCTGGTGCTGTTGATACGCCGCTGTGGGGATCCGACTGCAGCGGGGGTGGGGTGGGGGGGCAAGCCTGCGCTGAACCCACCCCTCTGCTCCGCAGGACGTGTTCTGCCTCCACACACCAGGTGGCGGGGGCTACGGGGACCCCGAGGATCCTGCCCCACCTCTGGGGTCGCCCGCGCAGCCCCCAGCCTTCTCTAAGCGCGGCAGCGTCTATGAGTACCGCAGGGCCCAGGAGGCTGTGTGAGGGGGGGTCCGCACAATAAAGATCCATTAAGTCGCCCTGGTCCTGCGGCGACCCTCCAGGCTCACGCTTGGCCTCCCTGCCGGTCTTTCCACCCCGCCTCGCAGCTGTCTCCTGCGTGCCTGCTTTCCCAGGGCATCGAAACTCGGAGCCGAAGTCCCACGGCCAGGTGGTCCGTGAGCCCTGCCAGGGCGGTGCTGAACGTCACTTGTTCCACTTCCTGGGGGCGGGAGTCAGGTTGAGGGGTTGCCCCAGCGCTAGCCTGCCCCGCGTCCTGAGCGTCGGCACTTACTGGGCTCAGCGGGCCTCCGGGTGCTCCCCGGTAGGTGATATAATCCAGGCGCCGGCCCCGCCAGGGCTTAGTCCGGGGGCCTCCGTGGGGAGGGCCTGCCAGGTAGCGGTGGCGACCTTCCTCCTGCTCCAGGGCCCTGAAGAGGAGCGGTGTCATCAAGGCCAGGGCACCCCTCCGTTCGGGGCAGACCCTGGCCCCCAGGTCGCCGCTCACCTCCGCAGCATCTCTGGGGAGCAGGCCACAGAGTGGTGGAGCCTGGAAGTGTTCAGTACCGTTCCTGTGGGAGGGCGGGGTGGGTTGTATCAGCCGGAGCTTCGGCAATCGAACCCTCCTCCCTGGGTCTGTCCCCCTCCTGGGCGCCATACCCAGGGCCCACGGTTGCTCCCGGCGCGTGCCCAGCCGGCAGGGGTCCTGGAAGCGGCTGAAGAGCTTGTGCTCCTGTTCTTCTGCGTTGTCTGCAGAGAAAGGCCCGCGCTAGGTGGGTGGGGTTAGGACTCCCACCCTGCCCCTCTGCAGCCTCCCCTGACCTAGAGAGCAGTTGTCGAAGTTCAGGTCACCCAGGAGCACGCTGAAGGCCACGGCGTCATCACTATGGCGGCTCTCTGCCTCAAACTGCTCGGCCCAGTCCAACAGCAGCGTTAGCTGCTTACAGCGCACGGGCCCGTCCTCTGCGGGACGGGGGGCGGGGGGCGGGGGAGGAAGACTCAGCTCAGGATGCCCGGAACACACAACAGAACTTCCCCATCGCCCGCCCTGCCCCATAATCTGTGAGCCCAACCAGGCACTCAAGGGATTCACGGTGTCTGGGGCGTGAACAAACGGTAGGGAAGAGGGGATCCGTCGCCACGCAGAGAGGCAGATCGGCCTGCCCACGTGCCCACAATCCCGCCCGCGAAGCTCACCACTCGGAGCATGCAAGTGCGTGCAGTGCAGGAAGCCCACGATGCGGCGCCCGTTCAGGATGCCCACCTGCGCCTGCAACACCAGACAGCCCCAGCAACCCTCGCCCATTGAACCCCACGCCCCACCCCTCCCGGGCAGGCCCGGGAGCACCTCCGCGGGTGGGCGGGTACCTGTGCAGAAAGAAGTCCCTTGGAGGCCAAAGCGTCCTCGCGACGGGCGTGGGGAAAGGACCGGAAGGCGGCGTGCAGCAGCGGGTAGCGCGAGGCCAGTAGCAGCCCGCTGCCCAGCAGCTTGAGGTGCGGCCCGGGCTGCAGGCCGAACGTACCCACGTCATACAGCACTGGGCCCAGACTGGGTGCCAGGCGGCTCACCAGACGGCGCGCCGCGCGCAGATCGAACACTTCCTGCAGGCACACGAAGTCCACACCAGCCGGCAAGGAGGCTATTAGCACCCCACTCGGCGCCCCATGCCCTGGCGGGCTGCAGCCCATAGTCCCATAGCGCGAGGATTGTAGGCCAGCGAGCAGCAAAGCACCCACGGCTTCGGCTCGCCGCTGGGTGTGCGGCAAGTTGCTGAAGCGTGCCAGGCCGTCAGGGAGCAGACATAGGTTAGCGCTGAGAAAGCTGAAGCAGCGCGCCGGCTCAGCTGGAGGACGCCAGGGTTCAGGGGGCGCCCAGTACTGCGGAGGGGGCTGGTAGCAGAAGGGGCGGCGCCAGATCTGCAGCAGCTGCCAGAGCAGTAAGCCAGGCAGTGCCAGCGGCAGGCCAATGAGCACCAGCAGCAGGAACGCCGCCCCGGCTCCCGCGGCCGCGCCCAACCATTTCAGGCGACTCGGACGCGCCATCGGCGCCCAGCTTCCCAGTAATTGGTCCAGGGCCCAGTAGGCAGGGAAGAGCAGCACGCGGGCCAGGCCGTGGAGGGCATGCAGCATAGGGTGAGGGAAGGGCGAAGGCCTGAGGGCGCCAGGCACCGGGGGCCAGTCCGGCGGGGATTGCATGGCGCGCGGGACTTCTCTGCCGCGGGGAGCCCCAGAGACTCGTTTGCTTCCAGCGTGCTAGTTGATTCGTGGGTGCGTCCGCCGGAGCTGGTGGGGAGCCACAGGGGTCAACGCCAGGTGGCGCAACCTGTGCGCGGACCCGGGAAAGTACCCGCGAGCCTGGGGGCGCGGGCGCAAGCTAAGGTTTGCGCCTGGGAAATCGGTGTCTCCTCACCCGCGCGAAATCTCGTCGGCGGTTAAAGGAAACAAAAGAGAAAGCGAAAGGGACACTGGTCTCGCAGTCCCGCCCCAGACCCTCCTCGCCCCGCCCCGCCTTCCCCTGAAGGTTGCACGGAGCACCTCTACACCCGCCTAACGAAAGCGGGGTCTGGGGTGCAGCTGCACCAAGCTGAGGGTGACCCTTGTTAGTGCCCGAGCGGCTGCAGGGCTAGCGAGGGTCGTTCGGTGAGCGCTGCGTCTTGCCCCCTCCCTCCTCCTGCATGTCCGCGTGGAATTGCCCGGGCATTTCTGCTGCCAGACTTCGGGATATACCCCACCCCCACCGTCTCCCCAGGGGCGTGAATGTCCAGCCCTTGGTCAAAAGACACGTCCCTCACGTCTCAGAGCGGCCTAACCAGCCACCTACTCAGCGCCCCGCAGAGTCCCCACAAGGCCGGCGCACAATAGTGACGGCTCTGTGACCCTACCCCAAGAAACTTCCAATCTGGGGGGAAGGGACCGTTGGTTCCACCCTACTCGGCCACTTCTCCTGGGGCGCGTGAGCAAGGTGGAAGCCAGCTCGGTTACCTGCTCAGTCCACTCGCACCTTTGCAGTTGGTTGCCTCCAGCTCCCTCTGGCGTTGCCGGGCCCCCACATTTCTGACTGGTGCTGTGAACTAGTCCCTACAGCTCCCGGAGCAGGTTCTTAAATTGCCTTTCACCCGGACTGGTAGGAAGGTGGGGAGCTTCGGGCCTCCACCTCAATTCTGCAAGGAATCTCAACCCCCTTTAGAAATCAAGGTCTAGGGCTGGGTGTGTTCATGACTACTTTGCTACAAGATCTATACCCATAGGTTTCAACTCCTGTCTCCCATCCCAGGGGTCTGGCTTGGTCCCCTGAAGTAGCAGGCGGGGGGGTGTGGGGGGGAAGCCCCCCACACACACACCTTTTTCCCTGCATCCCTCATGTTGGCTGACATGATTCCTGTTTGAAGCCAGGTGCTGGGTCTTCCCCAAACTCCTCCCATCACAGCTACAGCCTCCTGCCAGTCCTTGGGCACCTAAGGGCTTCCCCACACTGTCCTGTCCTCATGCATGCCCTCACAGGGACAATCATCCTGGCCTACATCCCGTAGCTTCTGCACCATCCACTAGCTCTTCTCCATTAGAATCTACAGGTTACCTCCCCATGTCTCCTTCTACCCCATCCACTTCTCTGCTCCTGTTTTGCTTTCCCATTCTACTTGTGCTCCTCAACTCTGTCCCTGCAGCAGGTGGAGTCTGGTCTCTGCACCCTATAGAGCCGCCTCTGCTTCCTGGGCCACCTTGGGAAGGTGCCTTGAGTGCCTTGGGAAGGGGCTCTATCTCCCTGGGCCACCCCATGCCCAGGTCTGAATGAGGCTTTCTCCTGGTTCCTCTCCCTCTGATGTCCCTGCCCTCAGTGAGGGTCCAGAATCCCCCATTCACCCCTGCCAGTCCAGAGGGAGGAATTCCCACACCCACATCCTTGTCTTGTGTGCCCAATCTGCCTGCTGCTCTGCGCCCAGGCCTCAGCTCCATGCATGTCACCAGTGCTCTTCTCCTCCAAGTCTCAGGGGCTTCCACTGCTCCCACTGTCAGGCCAAGGGAGCCTTGGGGCCTTCGGAACACCCCCTCAGCCAGACAGTTGCCCCAGGGCAGGCAGAACTGATGGGGTGCAGCAGAGAGGGCACTGGGAGCCCACCAAGGAGGCAGCACAGCCAGGAGCGCAGGCAGGCCCAGTGGCCAGCATCTGTGGGAAGCTTTAATGTCTATGCACAGGAGAGCAGGGCACAGGGAGCCTAGGCTGGCAGGGCAGGTGGCAGTCACCAGATGAACATGGGTTTGCCATCGTCATGCGCCAACTGGCTGAGGCAGGAGAGTAGCAGCAGCGCATCGGTGAGCATGCTGGGGTGCACGGTCTCCACCAGAACTCGCTGCAGGAAGTCCACAGTGTAGGAGCCGCCCTCAGACACAGCCAGCTCAGGCCTCTCCCGCAGGATGCCATAGGCATTCACCAGCTGCTCAGTCAGCGCAGGGTGCACACGCCCGTTGTAGCCCAGACTCTGCAGGCGGTTCATGATGCTCACATAGCGCTGTGTGAGCGTTTGGCACAGCTCCTCGTCTAGCTTGTGGCTGCCAGGATTCAGGGAGGCCTGAGGGAAGAGAGAGGGGACATGGTAGGTGAGGGGCAGAGGTTCCCCAAGCCCCATCACCTATTCCACCACCACTGGGGATTCAGGACTGAGCTGAGGTCACAAGGATCTGAGGACAGAGAGCATGGCTGGGAATCTGAGGTTGAAGGGATACTGAGGGAGCTCCTAATGCCCCCAGGGTTGCCTGATCCAGGAGACACCACTTGGGGTTTTCCCCAGGCTTCCTCCTGGCTCCCTGCTCTTCCTCTCAGCCTCCTCTCCTGGTCCCTCCTCTGTACCACAGGATGCATCCTCTGCACCCTGCTCATGCCCTGCTGGAGTCACTTGTCACCCCTCATGCTGACATGACCATCCCAGGCCCAGAGCTGACCTCAATCTGTTTCAGCACTAGGGTCCTGCTGTTCCTCAGGTGCCTGCTCCCAGTGCCTGGACCTGGGAATTGGCAGCAGCTGGGTTGTCTCCACATAATTCTTCATCACCTTTGCTCCCTAGCCAGGCAGTGACTGCACCCTTCCACAGCCATCTCGTCATGAATTCAGCCCCTCCTGTCCACCCCTACTGCTGTGGCCTGGGCATGTGACCTGGACAGTCATATAGGACACTACGCTCAGAAGGGCCCTGCACTCAGCTTAATGCTTGGCCGTAGCCCTGTATTTTCATTTGTACTGGGTCCTGCAAATTATGTACCTGTCACAGGTGCAGCAGCCCACAGGCCCACAGAACCAAGGATCTGAAGTGGTAGTCAGATGGGGTATCTCCCTGCCTGAGCCCTTCTGTGGTTCCCACTGCTCCAGTTCTTGGGGCCAGGGCCAACCTACAAGGTTCTGATTTGGCCCAGCTTGCCCTCCTTCCAGCTATTCCCTAGATGCCTGCCAAGGTAGTTCCTTACCTGATGGGAATGCCCAGACAAGCCGCTCCTCTAGGAAAACCACCCTGTCCTCCCCTCCCCAGATGATCATGTGAGCAGAGAACTGGGCTCATGGCTGGGCTCAGCTGAGTCACCCTTGACCTCTGGCTGGTGAAACTAGAGCTCTATGCTCAGCTCTTCACTTCCTGGTCAGCAGTAGGACAGGCCTGTCTCCCTGACTCTAGCCTGTTTGGTCCAGAGTCTTCTCCCTCCATTTGCCTGTTCCCAGGCCCCAGTAGGAAAGACTTCAGGAGCTCAGCCAACACTGGAGGGTAAGCAAGTGACCCTGTCATACCAGGATGGCACAGAGCACAGGTGGACAGCTGCAAGCCCCAGCCCATGAGGGGACGAGACCCATGGTCTGCTCAGCCCGGGCTGTGGCTGAGTCCCTGCTATGCCAGGTCTGGTGCACAGATCTCCAGACACGACCAGAAGTTCAGCAGGGAGCAGACTGAGTCCACCCCTCCCAGGGTGCTGGATCCAGGAGAGCAGGGAGGCTGACAGACAAGGCCAGGGCTGCCCCCAAGGAAGTGACCACTTGAGAGTGGGAGGAGGGAGCTAGTGGAGAAGAGTAGGACAAGCACCCTGGTTGGGGAGCTGTGGGCATGCCCCCCTGCAAGGCACTGAAACAGGCAGAGCAGAGCGGGAGGAAGGGTTCTGTCCTAAAGGGATGGAGACTCCTGGTGGGCTTTGCGGTTTTAAATGCTCAAGCTGACCCTGTAGGGGGATGGACAGAATCTGGCAATAGAGGGCACGGGCTGTTTTCCATCCTGCAGCGATTCTCCAAGGCAGGCAGGAGATGTGGCAAACACACAGGGCTATGTCTGTGCTAAGACTACTGGGTTTCCCCATCAGCTGTTGAAAAATAGAACCCTCCCCCTCTGCCCTGGATCCTGTCTCACCATCCACTCTGGCTGGCGTTCCTGTTGTACCATTTGTTCAATATTTTTAATTCTCCCTACCCTAAATGCATTATTTAAAAGCAGAAGAGATATGAGATAAAATGACTTGAGTGCTCAACCCAGCAAAGCAAATCTGAAGGCAGCAGAAGGAAAGAAGGAAACGGATGCACAGGATCACTAGACAGGATGAGCAAGACAAAGCTAGGGAAAGGGAACGCTGCACAGGAGGCCAGGGTCCCTGCCTTCCCCGAGGAAATGAAACTCCCAGCTGAGACCACCTGCCCACCACCCTGCAGCAAGCCCGGGTGTCACTAATTCCAGCCAATGGGATGAGACCAGGGCTGTGAGCTCTGCCCCGCCCCGCCCCCCCTGGGGGGGGCCCATTCCTAGACCTCTCAATCCTGACCGTTGCCACAGGATGGGTAGCAGAGCCTGACCCCTGTGGAGAAATAAACAGCTGGCTTATTGAAGCCCCTGCATTTCTGTCACAGCAGCTTGGTACAGGCCTCTGAAAAAGCAAAGCTAGAACTGATAAATGCAAACAGCATCCCAGTGCAATAGAAAACCACCAGGGATTGGTGTGGTTTATGATCAGAGTATCTTCTCTTGTGTGTCAATATGTTAATAGAAAGGGAGGGGGGAATCATGTGATTATCTCATCAGCGATAGAAAAACATTCTAAAAAATTAAATATTTGTTCATGATTAAGAAAAAAAAAACAAAACAGAAACTCTCAACAAACGAGGAAGAGAGTAAATTTCTTAATCTGACATGGCAGATACTGAACCTGGCTCATCTGGTTTCTATTGTAGTGCCATCTAGTCCCCTCCTGAACCTAAGGCGCTAGAAGCGAAAAATCACCTTTTCCAGACTCCCCTGTGACCTGGGTTTCTGCAATGGTGTGTCCACTAGGAAAGTCCCTGGTGGGCTGGCATTTTTAACTGGTTGTATAGCAAAAAAAAAAAGTCCAATTTTGTATTCTTCCTGGAGCTTCTGATACCATGCAAACATTGATAATAAATCCCTTTCTGCCTATAACAGCTCGAGTGGATTCTGTTACTGTCACCAAGAATGGACTGATCTGGCAAAAAGTCTGGAGCACACGTCATACTTAATGGGGAGATTGAAAGTGTATGTTCATCGTCAAGTGAGAAACAGGATGAGGTTGCCATATATTATCTGTTTCTCTTAAATACTGTACTATATGAGTGTCTACACAGAAAACCAAGATGATGATCTGCAAGCTATAAAAAACAGTGAGAGGGTTTGGCAAGGTAGCAGGATGACAAATCTTTACACAAAAATCAAAAACATTATTGGCAGGCCAATGAGTGGCACTCTGGAGAGCATCAGGGGCACCATGGACCCAGCTGGACACAGACACAGTGTTAGTTTATGGCCTCAGTCACCCTCACCAATGCAGCTGGACTCAGGGTCTTGTAGGAGTAGGGTGTCAAAAGGAAAGAGCTCAGCCCTGGCCGGTTTGGCTCAGCGGTTGGAGAGTCAGCCTGCGGTACAGAGAGACCCGGGTTCGGTTCCCGCTAAGGGCACGTACCTCGGTTGCAGTTTGTCCCCAGCCCTGGTTGGGTCGTGTGGGTGGCAGCCACTCGACGTGTCCCTTCACGTCGATGTTTCTCTCTCTCTCTCTCCCTCCCGCTCTATCTGAACAAAAAATGGAAAAAATGTCCTCAGGTGAGGATAAAAAAAAAAAAAAAAAAAGGAAGGAGCTCAAAGCATGCCCTACAAAGTAGGAAAACTTTGCAATTGGGTAGAAGAGGTGACAGGCATGAGCACCCGGACAACTTTTAGTTGGGCTTAAAAGATGCCATAACTTTTCGCAAACATACAAGAAGACGGGAAGGTTCTGTAATGAAAGTCAATGGGTCCTGGGTGGGAGAGGTAGAAGTGGGTGCAGGGGGAATAAATAATGATGAAAGGAGACTTGACCTGGGATGGTGAACACACAATACAATCTACATATGATGTGTTATAGAATTATACACCTAAAATCTACATACTTTTATTAACCAGTGTCACCCCAATAAATACAATAAAAAGTAAAAAAGAAAAAATGAGTAAAAAAAAAAAGGTCAGTGAGTCTTCATTGAAAATAAGGCTCTAGCTCTGGCCAGTTTGCTCAGCGGTTAGAGTGTCGGCCTGCGGTCCAGAGAGACCTGGGTTCAGTTCCCGCTAGGGGCACGTACCTTGGTTGCAGTTTGTCCCCGGCCCTGGTTGGTCATGCGGGTGGCAACCACTTGATGTCTATGGTTTGTTTTTTTTTCTCTCTCTCTCTTTCTCTCCCTCCCTCCCGCTCTATCTGAACAAAAAAATGGAATGTCTTCAGGTGAGGATTATAAATAAATAAATAAATAGATAAATAAATAAATAAATAAGAAAATAAGGCTCTATTAAAGCTTACAGCAGCCCTGGCCAGTTTGACTCAGCAGTAGAGCGTCGGCCCGCGGACCAATGAGTAGTAGTGGGTTTGATTTCGGCCAAGGGCACGTACCTCAGTTGCAGTTTGTCTTGGCTCTGTTCAGGTCGTGCAGGAAGCAGCCAGTCTATGTGTCCCTCTCATGTTGATGTTTCTCTCTCTCCCTTTTTCTCCCTCTCTCTCCCTCCCACTCTATCTGAAGATAAATGGAAAAATATCGTCAGGTGAGGATTAAAAAAAAAAAAGTGTCCAGCCAATGTGGCTCAGTGGTTGAGCGTCGGCCCATGCAGCAAGAGGTTGCTGGTTCAATTCCCGGTCAGGACACATGCCCAGGTTGTGGGCCCAATCCCCAGTGGGGAGCATGCAGGAGGCGGCCAATCGATGTTCTCTCTCATCGATATTTCTCTCCCTCTCACTTCCTCTCTCTCTAAAATCAATAAAGGAAAAACAAATTTAAAAATTAAAAAAAAAAAAAAAGCTTACAGCATTCATGAAGCCAACAACCCTCCTTTGTACAGGATCAGGTTTGACCAGGTTCAGTGGGTCTGCATATAATTTCAAGAATCTAGCAACCACCAGTGTTGGAGTTCAACATGTAAAGAAACAAGATGTTCTGATGAAGGGAAATAAAGGGCTGGGTAGCCCGACCAGTGTGGCTAAGTGGTTGAGCGTCGACCCCTGCACCAAGAGGTCACTGGTTCAGTTCCCGGTCAGGGCACATGCCCAGGTTGTGGGCCAAATCCCCAGTGGGGGACATGCAGGAAGCGGTTAGTCGATGTTCTCTCTCATCGATGTTCCTATCTCTCCCTCTCCCTTCTTCTCTCTCTAAAATCAATAAAGAAAGAAAAATGCTTTAAAAAATTGAATAAAAGGCTGGGAAAAGTGGAATTGGAGGCAGATAGAAACCAACAAATGGTTCAGCCAAGCAGGCAGGGCAACCTTTTCACCAGGATGCATGTTTATGATCCTCAGAGGTGACCGGATGTCAGTCATCCTGCAGGACTCTGCAGGGGGCCAGCCTATGGGTGTCGCGCAGGGTCCCGAAGGCAGCTTCTGTGGATGTGGACTCCAGGGAAGCTGCCTCTCAGGAGCTCGGGCACAAGCATGTGATCCTGGCAGTGCCTATCATTGCTGATGGAAGGTGAATGGGGCCAATGGCTCTGGAATTGATAATGGTGGCTATTGGGTAGAATGACCAGACGAGGATTGTGGTAACTGTCACAGGCTCTCCAGAAGTCGCCCACATGGTGGCAGAGGCAATGGCTCAGGGGGCGCTGAGCTCCTTGACACCATCAAACCCCAAAAGAAAAACATTGCCTTACACACATCCTGCTTTCCTCTGTCTGTCTCTTCTCTAAAGAGTTGCCACTGAGTGCCATGGCTTAGATTCTACAGCGAAGTGATAACCCGCAGAGGAATCTGGGAACGCAGGACGTGTATGGCCAAGTCCTATCAGAGGACAATGTGCTTTCACCTTCTTCCATTCAAACGGCATTTCAAACAGTAGGAAGTCTTTTTACATGGAGATGTTAACACCTACTTTCTCTGTGTGCAACTAGACTTGGGTTTATAAATAAACGTGTCTTTGCCAACAAGATAACGCATGCAGTATTTTAGAGACATAAATATCGCGCTTCTACCATGTCATCTGCTGATTTTTTTAATCCTCGCCCAAGGATATTTTCCCATTTATCTTCATATAGAGTGGGAGGGAGGGAGAGAGAGAGAGAAACATTGATGTGAGAGAGACACATTGATTGGTGGCCTCCCACATGACCCTGACTAAGGCCAGGGTTGAACTGCAACTGAGGTATGTGCCCTGGAATCGAACCCATGACTCTTTGGTTCATGGGCTGACAACTCTAACCGTTGAGCCAAACTGGCCAGGCATCTGCCGATTTTTATTTTATTTATTTATTTATTTTATCCTCACATGAGGATATTTTTCCATTTATCTTCAGATAGAGTGGGAGGGAGGGAGGGAGAGAGAGAAAGAGAGAGAGAGAGAGAGAGAGAGAGAGAGAGAAACATTGATGTCAGAGAGAGACACATCGATTGCATCTCCTGCAGAACCCTGACCAGGGCCGGGGACAAATGACAACTGAGGCATGTGCCCCTGACCAGAATCGAATCTGCGACTCATTGGTCCTCAGGCTGACACTCTACTGCTGAGCCAAATCAGCCAGGGCCACCTGCTGATTTTTAAACAGCCATGGCCAGTCTGTATTCATGACCCAGCCGTGGCCTCAGTGGTCCTGGACAAGAGTCAAAGTGCTCAAACTACAGGTGACCAAAGTGGCCCAGTGACATGAGCAGCAGAAATAACAGGTGGGTGGGAATAACCAACATGGTAAAGATGCGCAACTTCCTGTTTAATCTATAAGTCGATGCAAAACTAAAAATGTGAACTAGGCTTTTCCTGGAGCTTGACAGACTAACCCTAAAATTCATATTGAAGAATAAAGAGCCAAGAGGAGCCAAGACAATCTGGAAGAAGAGAGATGCCCAGGTTCATTAACCCTCCTGTGATGAGGACAGCAGGGAGCCAGGGACAAACCCTCCTCCAGCCTTAAGCACAACATGGAAAGTACAAGTGGTAAAGGAAGAGGTGGGTAATTCTAAACACGTTGAAATTAAAGAACAAAAGCACCTCAACGAAAGGAAAAGACGAGTTCAAACCTAGGCATGGATGAGCCCACTGTAACCAAGTCATTCCTGCCCAAGCACACACCAGGTTTATGGTACACAGATAGAGATGGCATAGAGGAGGTGGCTGTGAGTACAAAGGGCTATTTCCCAAGGGAAGCCCACATGCATGCCCCCTTCCAGTCTGGGGAGGGCCCCTAGGAGGTCATTGCAGTGGCAAAGGGGGAAAGCACAGACTTGACTGTGCTCAGACCCTCCCCTGCCCAGTTCTCCGGGGAGTCTGTGCAGCTGGGACCACAGGCTCCTGCTGTTAGATGCCCTGGACACTGCTGGACACTTGGACTGAGCGCAGTGCTTTCTCCATCCCAAGGTGCCCTCTGATTACACTGTGCTGACCTGGCTGGAGTGCAGGGCCCCTAGCAGTCCTTCAAGGGCCAGCAGGTTCCCCATTGCTGCCAGGTGACCCGGCAGGCCCTTTGTCACGAGTGGGAGTCAGGTACCACACACCTGAATGATCTTCTCAGGAATGTTGGAGACAGTGAAGCCATAGAGGCGCACCCGCTCAGGGAAAATGCTGGACAGGATCCTACGGTCCAGCTGGAAGGCGATCTCCCCCACCAACCTCTCCAAGGCCAGCTGCTTTGGTTCTGGGGACAGCAAGGGGTGGAGAGAGTGGGCAGTGTTGTGGGCTGCAGCCCAGGCAGGTGCCTGAGGAGCATCTCCAAGGGTGGCAGGGCGCCCCTCAGATAGGAGTAGACCCAGTTACAGCACTGACCTCGGGGGCTTTCAGGGAACTTGCTGGTCTTGCGGTGGGCCAGCTTCCGCTCCAAGTCCAGAATGCTTTTCCGACAAGTTTCAGAGATGCGTGGGCCCCGAGTGTCATTGACAGAAGCAGGGGAGGACGAGGTTCGGGGTGGGGAGTGGGGGTTTCGTGGAGGGGAGTGGGAGGTGGGTGAGGGCCTGGTAGGGGAGTGGTGTGCTCGGGTGGTGGACTGGGCAATGTGGGTGGTGCTCGAGGGGCTGTAATTGGTGGCAGCTTGGTGAGCAGGGGCAGAGGGGAGGACTTCGACAGTGGAAGAGGCCATTGGGGTGGTGGGGACAGGGGCAGGAGCCACTTGTCCCTGGGGGGCACCCGGCTGGGTCTGGGCATCTGAGGTGCTGTAGGAGAAGGTCTTGTTGCCAACAGGGGTGGAGGTCTGGATGGGCCTGCCCACGAACGTCACGCTGAGGGGCTCAGGGTCCTGGGTTGTCAGGGCGTGCTCGGTAGAGAGTGGGACTGTTGACAAGGTGGGGCAGAAAGGAGAAGAGCAGGCTAAGGGCAAGGCAGGACTAGGGAGTGGCCTGGCAGGGGGCCCCGCCCCTTGCTCCAGTTACCTTTGGAGGTGGCAGCAGGCCCTGAGCCAGCTGAGGGGGGTCCAGAGGGGAATCTTTGGAGTGGCTCTGCCAGCCGCACCCTCGGAGCCTCCGATTGCGCTGAATTGCTCATGGGGTTGGCCAGAAGGTTTTGAGAAACACCTGAAGGGGCAGTTGTGGAGGTGAGCAGGGGACCGTTCAGAGAGACAGCCACTGTGCCTGTCATAGGAGCCATCAGGGGGTTGCTCTGAGACATGGCCAGGGGGCCCGCCAGAGGGCTGCTTGGAGTCAGGGGGCCGGTAGAAGGAAGGCCCAGGGAGCTGGCCAATGTGTTTGCCATGGGGCCACTCAAGTTGCTGCTTGGAGTCAAGGGGCCGGTAGACGGAAGGCCCAGGGAGCTGGCCAATGTGTTTGCCATGGGGCCACTCAAGTTGCTGCTTGGAGTCAAGGGGCCGGTAGACGGAAGGCCCAGGGAGCTGGCCAATGTGCTTGCCATGGGGCCACTCAAGTTGCTGTTTGGAGTCAAGGGGCCGGTTGAGGGCAGGCCCAGAGAGCTGGTTAGTGTGCCCCCCGTGGGCACTGCCATGGGGCTGGCTAGGTGGCTGCTCAGCGGTCCAGTCAGGAGGCTGGCAAGCGCGCTGTTCTGCGTTATGGGCCCTGGGGAGGGCAGTAGTGTGTTGAGAGGGCCCGTCAGGGGGCTCACGATGGGGCCTGCAGCAGGGCTGGGCTGTGGGTTGTTTAGCATGTCTGCCAGGGGTGCCAGAGCCATCATCCCCATTTCTTCCAGGACAGGTTCATTTGTTGCAGCCTGGGACGGAGTCAGGAAGACACCTGGGGGGACACAGAGAAAGCACTGAGACCCCAAGTGGGCCCCTGGAGGAGAGGGCTCTCTCCTCACGGTGGCAGTGCCTGGACCAAGGTGCACATCTGCCTCTGATGAGCTGACCAACCTCTCTGAGCCTCAGGTGGGATCCCAGACCAGGGTCTGGCCCCTGTGAGGGAGCTTTGCTCCTCCAAGGCTCACATCTCTAAATATCTGCTCCCTAGCCACAGGGACCTTCCACAGTTGCCCACCCCTCAAGTGGGCTCACTGCACTAAGCTGCTGACCTCTTGCCAAGAAGAGGAGAGTCTTCTGGAGGCTGAACTCACAGGTGGCCAAGGTGACCCCTACATTCTCTGTTAGGGAGGAGTGGACCCTGGCCTCCTGACTTCTGTCCTTGCAGAGACAGCTGAGCCTCACCAGGTGGGGGACCCTCAGGGATGCCAGAGCTAGAACAGGTGTGAAGCTGCCAAAGGTGTGCCTGGCCCCTGCGTGAGGCCCCTGCCCACCCAGGAACAGTGCATGCAGGCACAAGAGCTAAAACTATGCAATTATTACAAGGAGACTTAGCAGTACACAATTGGGGTGGGAAACATACGGTCCACAGGCCATATAAAGCCCACGAAATCAATAACAGCTAACATCACACACCTCACCAAATTAGCCTGACCAAATATAGCAGGCTAATTTTTAAGTTGATAATTTTGTATGGACTGTGAATGATGTTATAAATATCCAAATGGAAAAAAAAAAAATCCAAATGGCCCTTGGCAAAAAAAAGTTTCCCTATTTCTGTGCTAGGCAACGGATTCTTAGCTATGACACCAAAAGCATGAGCAACAATAGACAAGTTGTATTTAATCAAAATTAAAAGCTTCCAGCCCTGGCTGGTTTGGCTCAGTGGTTAGAGTGTTGGTCCATAGACCAGTCAAGGGCACATACCTTGGTTGCAGGTTTGATCCCTGACCTCTGTCCAGGTCATACGGGAGGCCACCAATTGACTTGTCTCTCTCACATTGATGTTTCTCTCTCTCCCTCCCTCCCACTCTATCTAAAAAAAAAAAAAAATAAATCAATGGAAAAAATAGGAAATAATATTCATGGGTGAGGATTGAAGAAAACAAATGAAAAGTTTCTATGTTTCAAAGGACACAATCAAGAAAGTAAAAAGAGCCTGGTTGGTGTGGCTCAGTGCTTGAGCATCAACCTATGCACCAAGAGGTCACCAGTCAGGGCATGTGCCTGGGTTTCAGACTTGATCCCTTGTAGGGGTTGTGCAGGAGGCAGCCTATCAGTATTTCTCTCTCATGAATGTGTCTATCTCTCTCTCCCTCTCCCTTCCTCTCTCTAGAAATCAATAAAAACATATTTTTAAAAAAGAAAGTGAAGCCCTGGCCAGTTTTCCTCAGTGGTTAGAACGTCAGCCTGCGGACCAGAGAGTCCTGGGTTTGGTTCCTGCTAAGGGCACATACCCTGGTTGGGGTCCTGTGGGTGGCAACCATTTGATGTGTCTCTCTCACATTGATGTTTCTCTCTCTCTCTTCCTCCCACTGTATATAAAGATAAATGCAAAAAAAGTCCTTGGGTGAGGATAAAAAAAAAGAAAGTGAAAAGACAATCCACAGAATGGGAGAAAATATTTGCAAGTCATACATTTGATGAAGGACTTGTATCCAAAAAATATAAAGAACTCTTACACTTCAATAATAAAAAGACATATAGCACAACTTAAAATTTGACAAAAGGCTTGGCTGGTGTGGCTCAGTTGGTTGAGCATTGTCCCACAAACCAAAAGTTCTCTGGATTGAGTGCCGTCCCATGGACTGAGAGGTCCAGGTTCAATTCCCGGTCAGGGCACATGCCCAGGTTGTGGGCTCGATCCCCAGGAAGGGGGCATGCAGGAGGCAGCTGATGTTTCTCTCTCACATCGATGTTTCTCTCTCTCACTTCTTCTCTCTTTATAAAGAAGTCAATAAAAGCATATTTTAAAAAAAGATCAGCTACAAAATGAATATATATATACATATATATATTTAAAGGATCTGAACAGACATTTCTGAAAGATGATATGATATGATATACAAATGGCCAGTAAGCACATGAAAATATGCTCAGTATCATTGGTCATTAGAGAAATGAAAATTAAAACCATAATGAGAGCCCTGGCCAGTTTGGCTCAGCGGTTAGAGCATCGGCCGGAGGACCTAAGGTTCGCGAGTTTGATTCTGGTCAAGGGCACGAACCTTGGTTGTGGTCTGGTCTCCGGCCTAGGTCAGGGTTGTGTGGGAGGCAGCCAGTCGATGTCTCTCTCTCACATTGATGTTTCTCTCTTCCTCCCTCTCTCCCTCCCTCACTATCTGAAGATAAATGGGAAAAAAAAATATATATCCAGTGAGGATTGGGAAAAAAAACATAACGAAAGACCAGTTCACACCCACTAGAATGTCTATAATCAAAAAGTCAGATACGTATTGGCAAAGATGCAGAGAGATTGGAATGCTCATGCATTGCTGGTGGGAATGTAAACTAGGGCAGCCACTTTGGAAAACAATCTGGCAGTTTGTCAAACATTTAAACATAGAGTTACCATGTGACCCAGCAATTCCACTCCTAGATACAGACCCAGAGAAATGAAAACACATCCACACAAAAAGTTGTATATGAATGTTTGTAGCAGCATTATTCATAATAGCCAGAAGGAGGAAACAAAAGTCCATCAAATGAATATGGACAAACAAAATGTGTTGTGTCCACTAATGGCATATTATTCATCCATAAAAAATCCTAATCCCGCCCTGGCCGGTTTGGTTCAGCGGTTAGAGCGTCGGCCTGCGGTCCTGAGAGACCTGGGTTCGGTTCCCGCTAAGGGCGCGTACCTCGGTTGCAGTTTGTCCCCAGCCCTGGTCGGTTGTGCGGGTGGCAACCACTCGATGTGTCCCTTCACATCGATGTTTCTCTCTTTCTGTTCCTCTCTCTCCCTCCCACTCTACCTGAACAAAAAATGGAAAAATGTCCTCGGTTGAGGATTAAAAAAAAAAAAAAAAAAAATCCTAATCCCACCTAGAAATACTGATTCATGATGCAACACAGATAAACCTTGAAAACATTATGCCAAATGAAGAAGCCAGTCCACAAAAGCCCCATATGTATCATTTCACTTACACGGAATGTCCAGAATAGGCAAATTCACAAAAACAGAAAGTAAATTAGTGGTTGCTTGGGTTTCTTTTTGGGGTGATGAAAGTGTTCTAAAATCATTGTGGTTGTACATATCTATGAATATATGAAAAACCACTGAATTGTACACTTTAAATGGGTGAATTATATGGTATGTGAGTTATATCAATAAAGTTGTTATATAAAAAAGATTCATTGGCCCTGGACGGTTTGGCTCAGCGGTTAGAACATCGGCCCATGGACCAGAGAGTTGTGGGTTCAGTTCCCACTAAGGGCATGTACCTCGGTTGCAGTTTGTCTCAGCCCTGGTTGGGGTCCTGTGGGTGGTGACCACTCCATGTGTCTCTCATCGATGTTTCTCTCTCCTCTTCTCCCTCCCCCTCTATCTGAAGATGAATGCAAAAATGTCCTCGAGTGAGTATAAAATTTTAAAAAAGAGAAAAAAAAAGATTCATTGGGGTCACAGGCACTTAGGGTTGCAGGAAGGGAATAGTCATGGTTCAGGTTTGTGACCCCAATTTCAGGATTGTTTAATAGATTCAGATTTGTGAGTTGACATTTTCCTGGGTTTTCACTACAGTATCAGAAACTGAAAGAAAACTAGGTTCTCTGCACTTACATGTTTATTTCCTATGTAAGAATTATTTAGGCCCTGGCCGGTTTGGCTCAGCGGCTGGAGCGTCGGCCTGCGGACCAGAGAGTCCCAGGTTCGGTTCCGCTAAGGGCACGTACCAAAAGGAGAAGAGGAAGAGACTAGAGCCTCCTCTCGCCATGCGAGGGCACAGCAAGGAGGCAGCCACCTGTAAGTCAGAAAGTGGGTCCTCACCAGGGACCATCACTGATCTGGGACTTCCAGCCTCCGTAAGTATGAGAATAAGTGTTTGCAGTTTAGAAAAAAAATAATTATTTAGGTTCTAGGAACGTTTGTTTGTAACTTCGGACAATTTAAGTTAAAAAGAAAAGCAAATGCTTAGATTTGCTAATATAATTTACAGTGTTTTCAGAGGTTTAACTGCACTGATTCACTGCCCCAAGGGCTCCCCGCAGGGGCAGCTCCGTCCTTCCCGCGAGGCCAGGACTCGGGAGCGGCCCCTCGGGTCTCCCACGCTCCCCGCGCAGGGCGGGGCCGCGCGGTCACACAGTCCCGACCTGGTCCTCACCGCTCCCGGCCCGGCCTCGCGCCCTGGGCTGCCCCCGCCTCCGCCGCGGCCCCTCCCGGACCTCGGACCCCTCCCTTCGGCGCGCGGATGTCGGCCCCGGGCAGAGACGGCCGGGCCGCGGAGACCCCGGTTCACGCAGGGACAGAGGAGACAGACGGTGAAGACCTTTCGACGCGAGGGCCGGAGGGGCGCGGCGCCGGCGGGCCCTGAGCACGCGCAGACCAAGCGTAGGGGCGGGGCCCGAGTCCTGGGAGGAGCTCTGCATGGGGTGGGGCTAGAGTGCCGAGCCGCTCTGGTGGGCGGGGCCAAACCGGCGGAGCCAATGTGCTGGACCGGCCCCGGCGCGAGCCCTGCAGGAAGGCGGAGCTTGAGAGCTGGGGCGGGGCCTGGTGAGGCGGAGCCAGAGCGTTTGGGCGCGCAGAACGCCTGCTGCCGACGTCTGAGGACCCAGAGGGGAGGCGGGACGCACAGAGCGTGGCCAAGTGAGCAAGGGCGGCTCGAGTCGAGGGCTCCGAGGGCGCTGTGGCAGCTGGAGGGGGAAAGAGAGAGGGGGTAGACGGGTCCTGAGGAGAGAGGGAGTCCTGAGGGGAGAGGGGGTCCTGAGGGGAGACGGGGTCCTGAGGGGAGACCGGGTCCTGAGGGGAGAGGGAGCCCTGAGGGGAGACGGGGTCCT